CCCCAAACCACAAAGATGTTTCTTTACATGTCTGCAGCAATCTAAAAAAGCACTTTTAAGGGCAAGAAAAAGTTTCCTTTGGGCATGTTGTTAATACATTTTTCTCTCTAAGCATCTTACAGAGCCCTCTGTCACACTATGCTCCCTATCTTCTGCTAGGCTCACTCATGTCTTGTTTACTTACCTACACAGAGAACCGCCAGAGCTGCATTTGCTAGATCAGAGCAGACACTGCTCTTTGTACTCTTGAGATAAGAGGTTGCAACAGGCAAACCGTGTTTGTGCATCTCAGCCACAAAATATGATCTTAATAATTACAGTGAATGAACTAAAACAATAACTCTTATCTTTGTCTCAATAGCCATTAGTTTAAAAGGCACTCTTAATTTAGTGCATTTAATTTTGCTTCATGTGTTTGAGGATATTTATAACATCAAATTTACAAAACCCCTTTCCAGCAACAAAGGACAAGCTGTAAATTGTCCCTTACCTCTGTTTTCTCTCAAAGCTCTATCAAAAGGCTGTTCTTGCCCTTCTCTTATTGAGTCCACATAAATCAAAGCCTGGTAAAGGGCATGACTAGTAATCTGAGAAAACAGCCTACACTAACTATATGAATGGATTGTTATATGTCATACTTCCCATTAGTCACAGAGAGAAACTTTTGACAAAGTTTATAAAGAAGTTGAGAGCAGAACCATCACATCATGGATATACTCCATAAACCAGTTAATCTGGACTTCATCATGCAGGGCTGATAGAGCACTGACTGAATCTCTTTCTCCCCTCTTCTTGTTTTACAGACAGTGTCCTACTGCTGCATTTCCACTTGTGATCTCTGTTACGATGGCTTAATGAAAACAAAGGACTCCATGCCTATCCAGACATGATCTCGGGCCTTTCTCAGACACAGCCAGCCCCATTTCTACATGTGTGCCAACTCAACTCTATATTCTGAAGTGGGACTGACAGGGGAAGATGAAAGACTTCATCTCCCTCCTGTGCACACTGCACATTGTTGGCTGATGCAAACTGGCAATGGCTCCATTAAAGTCAGAACAACTACAGCAGCTTTATCATAGTTAATGGTCTGCCCCTCAACTGCATAACTCAGTTTATGCCAAGAGAGGACCTTTATCCTAGCTGCACTGCTGAGCAAACAACCTTCTCACTGATAGGGGAGCCATGACCCCTTATGATACCGTCATAGTTTTAAATGTGAGGAAACACATATAGGCCAAAGACAAGATGGCCAGCCAAGGGGGGTTGCAATTAACTGGTGTTAAAATGAAGGTGTAAAGTCTGTTTCACAAGCCCCTAGCTGGTGGAGCTGCCAGTGACACACATACCTGGCAGAGCCCATCTGCAGCTCTGCCTTCCTGCCTGCACCAGAGAAACCCCAGTTATTGCAAAAAAAAAAAAAAGGAAAAAAGGATAAATAATAAAATAAAATGCTTTATATCACCAAAGGAGAAGCAGATAGAAGAAGAGAAGTATCTATCACTAAGGACTCAGTACACAGACCTGCAAGATCCATGTCTAAGATGATTGGATGGGAATGAAATACGTGCCACTGGACACAATACTTCAGTGAGACAGTAACATTATTGCCATGTTTAAGAGTTCACCATCCCAACATGCTGAACCACAGAACCACGGGATCTGAATACAGCAATTGCTTTCCTCAATTAAGTTAGTTAATTAATTTCCTCAAGTAAGAAAACTTCATGCTTTAATGTCACAGTCAGATATTGCAAAACATGTGCTGCTACTGAGCCATTAGCATGTGGAACTGCAAAATTCCAGATATCCTGTGAGCAGTGCCTAACGCTCCATGACCTCTGCTATGGGACTGTTCAGATTACTCTGAAAGAAGAAACTGAAGATACCCAGTAAAGACAGAGTTGCTCAGTATTTCTACAATTAGTCCATCTGCAGATTTTGCAGTGCTTCTAGAATGGTGATACAAGGGTAGCAAGAAAACCTGTGGAGGAAAAACAAAAGGAATGAGGCTGATGAGTAAACACAGTACCTCAAACAAGCAACTTGTCATTTATACTGGAGCACAGTTGGCTAGGTGAGAAAGGAAGGGATGTAAAGCCTAAAATTGAAACCACAAAGCGATGTTCTGGAGGAACAAAAATGAAGGCAGTAAACCAGAAATAAAATTACTGTCAAGTAATTTCATTTAAACCCACAATGTCTGAGTGCTCTTTATATATGAGTTTCTCTACACAGAAAATGGGGGAAAGCTAGAACTTGTCCTTCAACTTGCAGAGTTATTACTTAGTTTACCTACTCTAGTGAGGATTTCAACTAAACCAGAAAGCCACCCTCATTTTGGAATTAAAATAACACAATTTAGACTCAATTTAGTATGCCAATTTAACTATCCCAGATAAAAGCTTAAAAGAAGTTTAGAAGTAACAAGCCCTACACTAATATAATCACCCTGTGACCAGCTAATGATAGAAACAATATTGTTACCTGTTGTTGCTAATGGAGAGAACAGTAGTGGTCTGACAGCTAGGCATGCTTTCTGCTCCACATCATATAGCCATCTTTGTAACCCAATAGCATATTAGAACTAAAGCTGACATTTTTAGGATCTTCTTGTTGCCATACACTATTCGGAAACCGCACATTAGGAAAGGATGCACATCTATCTCAGTTAATGTGAGTTGGGGACTCCTTAATGTCTTTGTTGATTTATTATTATTATTTTAATACTAACACTGTGTTTGGCACTACAGAAAGCAAAAATTAAGACACTTTCTGCAGTGAAAAAAGCAGATTAAAAGTACTGAGGAGAGAGGGCAAGCGATAAGAAAGACCAAACATTTTCTAGCAACTCAGCTTCTAGGCCAACTCCTGTCTTGGTGTCTGCTCTTCCACCTACATGAAGACACAGTCTGCACACTTCAAACCAAACAAGCTTGCTGTTATGGATGTATCCAAGCACGGTATTTAAACTAGACTAAAATGTGCCACTAACTCTGGATGCTAAGAAAATAATACAGTAACTAATTACACTTTGTCCATGCACTTTTGAAACTGCTCAATGCGATTGAACAGACATAGAAACGGAGGCAAGAGCAGTGATAGGCAAAGGTCAAGGAAGTAGCCTTGAGGGGATCTCAGCAGGTTTTCTGCACCCAAGTCCATTGCTTATGAGAGGCCATGGTTCATTGCTGAGATAATCTTGAAAAACAGGCCAAGTTTTGCTTTGCGAAAGCAAAGCAAGCAGATGTGTGAGCAAGCAGATGTGACACTTCAAATCCATTTCTGGCTCAGTCATAAAGATCATGTCAGAAATGGGGGGGGGGGGGGGGGAATAACAAGGAAGTTGTCTTCTGAACAAGGAGTTCTGAATAATGTTTTGCTTGGTACCTGGAAAAGTACCAAAAACTTTTTTTTTTTTCTGAACACAGCCAAAGAAATCTATTTTCAAATAGAAACCATCCATGGCATTTATATATTATTATATATATATGCCCTGATATTTTCAGTTATTTTCTGATATTTTCCAGATAAGACATTATGGTTAAAAGTCAATGGAAGTCTCAGAGCTAGAACCAAGGAAAGGCAAACATGAAACTAAGCATGTCAAATTGTCCTGCTCCTTGTATGGGCACAGCGAGGCAACTGTGGCCATTGGGAACCTGAGAAAGAAAAATGTCCATAAATAGGAGGGCATTTGGAACAGAAAGATTTATTCTTTTTCTTTTGGTGACTTCACAACTTCTGTTTCCAGTTGTGGTGGGTATACCCTAGCAAGGAGCGAAGCACCAACTCTGCTGCCCACTCACCCCTCACCCACCCTCATTACTCCACCAGCATGATGACAGAGAGAACAGGAATAGCAAAAGCAAGAAAACTTGTGGGTCAAGAGAAAGACAGTTTAATAAGTGAAGGAAAGTAAAAAAAAGAACAAACACCACCCTCCCCTCTCCGCCAAAACCAAACAAGAAACAAAAGACAAAAGAAAACAACAACCAACCAACCAACCAAAATAAAAAAAAAAAAACACACCAAAACCCCCATGAAAACCGAAACAAAACTAAGTGATGCGAGGGCAGTTACTTGTCATCTCCCACAAACAGTTTTACACCCAGCTATTCCCAAGCAACCACCACCTTGGAAGACACCCCTCTTCCCCTTTCTTCCTCTACCTCCAGTTTTCACTGCTGTGCATAATGGTGTATTATACAGAATATCCCCTTGGCCCATTCAAGTCAGCTGTCCCCATTGTGTCTGGCCCTCTTAACTTCTGCAGTCAGCCTATTCACTGCGGGGAAGTAGGGACAAAGTGAGAAATAAAAAATAAGAGTCATTTGTAGTCAAAACATCGGTGTGCCACCAGCACTGTTGGAGCCACAAATCCAAACCACAGTACCATACAGGATGCTACAAAGAATGTGAACCCCACCCCAGCCAAACCAAGTTCACCAATGTATAGAGTAAAAAAGAACAAGGAAAAGCTTTAAGCATGTGTAGGCAGAGGGAAAGCTCCTAAAATGTTAATGTTTTAAGTGTACACACTAGTCATAGCACTCTCAGGATTTGTTTCCTGAGCCACCTGCAGCACTGATATCGTAGCAGAATGACTGGACCTTTTAGCTCCTACAGGTGAGTGACAGACCAAGCAGGACAGGGTCAATTTGTCTTTCATCTCTGGAAGGGTTTTTCCCCACACAAAATACTCCCAGTGAAATGTCTGCACTCATTACTCTGGAATAATGTATATTACCAGAGGCAGATTAACTTTTTATGGCCACAGTACCAAATGAGGCAGGACATGACAGAGAAGCATAAATACTCCCAGGCCTAAGATTTCTCCATACATGCAAAACCGTAACAGGGCTCATTTAAATAGATTGGAAAAGATTTTAAAGTTGGAGTATTTCTGTGTGATACAAATGTCTTTCATCTGCAAATTGCTCAGTCGTATTCTGGGAAGCTGAAACTGCCATAGAAATCAAGCAGAACAAACAGTAAACTGGTTTAGAAAATATATTTTATTCATAAAATGGCTAAACATTGATGCCTATACAAAACATCTTGAGGCTAGATAATTTAGTCCATGAATAGAAAACTCAGAATATTTTTGTTCTTCCTTCAATATTGACAACTAAAATAACAACAGAAAGTAAGAAGATACCCACACTGCACGCTGGGAAGCCTCGGCTACTTGTCTTTAGATGTGTAAAACCCAAAGAAGGTCTCCAGCACTTTGCAGGGTCACTTCCTACACTGTGATCATTTAATGAGTGAACGGCATGTTAACTTCCCTTGAAATTCAGGAATTTTCAAAGATTCCTGAATATTCCGTCCAGAATCCGCTCTCCCAAAATACAGCTGCTTTTCCAACAAGGTAGCATCTTTTTATCTTAAGAGTTTAACAATGGACTTTGAAAATGTCAGCTACATAAACAGGCTCTTTCCTTCTTTTTTTTTTTCTTCTTTAATCTGCTTGGATACCTTTCTGTACTCATTTTGAGAACATGAGAATTGTCACACTAGGTCAGATGAGCCATTCCAGTATCTTACTGATTTGCCAAGAGCAGTTGTTTAAGGAAAACTACAGATAAGCAAGGCAGATATGCAATGAGACCCTGGAGGGATGAGGGCTCCAATAGAGATGGTTGATATTAAAGGATCACCACCTTGTAGATCCAGAGCAGTTCATCCCAATAAGAAGGAACTGAGACAAAAATGCCAGGAGGCATCTTTTCTGCTCCTTAGACTATGCACTTACACAACCCTGTTCCTCTGGACAAAGGAGGCAAAAATTGCTGCCAACTAAGTGAGCAATCAACTCCGAAACCAAAAATGGTAACACAGAAATGCACTGCTGCTCCCATGGAAGGCAACTGAGCATCCACAAGAGAGAACGTCAATTTCGAGTAGCTGTATTGACTTGCTACAAGTAGTTTTCACCTCCAGCAGTTTCTGCAAGGCCAGCCTTTATACATATGCACTTTTTTTCTTTTTTTTTAAGTTGAAGAAATTATTCCAAGTAACCATAAAACTTTGATTCTCCAAAATAGGACTGATTTAAGAGAATTTTGCAGGACGTGTAGGAATACAGAAACTCTCTTCATTCACACTCAAGTAGGAAGGTAAACCTTAATTTGGAAACAATATATATGATAAACATAAGTGTGACGAAAAACAGATTTCATGTTTTAACACTGAACCTCTAACTTCACTAGAGCAAAGAAAGTAATAAACTTACATTAGTTAATATATTTAACGTCATTTAACTACGACGTTAAATATAGTTAAACCTCTCTTTGCTACCAGCTGTAAATTTTCCTAAGGACATATAGGTCACATCAAATACTGTCTGACAAAGGTAGTACTAAGATAATTCCTTTTTGGCATTGAAGAAACCATCACAGTCTGGATGTGACAGGACTGAAAGGTAAGTCTCTCTTAGAAAGGCATATAAGAATGCACTGGCTGCATAAGTTAAGACTGTCTTTGGTTTTGAAACACATCCAGATATGAAGAATAATATACCACACCCCCATTTTGTTTTTTATCACCAGTGGATTTGTTTCTAGAAGTCACGCCATTCAAAGTTATCTGCTGAAAATGAATTTGAGAATAGTTTTCCACACAGGTATCTGTGCTCTTCACATCTTCAAAAAGGCAACCTGTAAAAGGAAGAAAACCCAACAATGTGAATAGTTGCAAAACTGCAGGCAAAACAAATATATTTCATTGCAGTAACTGATATATTATAATCATCTCACTTTAAAAAAAAAACAAAACACTCTAACATAATGAGAGAGCGGAGGCTATATTTGAGAGCAGTGTTACTTTCCCACCACTATTCTACCTAATTTGTCTCCTAAAAGTCCCAAGATCACTCTTTTTGCTCAAGCACTGCACAGGTTTCTGAACTACATATCAAAACCTTATTTTCTTTCCAGAATACCAAAGCACAAGTTGTTCATCTTGTCTAACTTAAAATGCTATTTGATACTATTTTGAAACTAGCTTATATTAAATTTTTGATACATTCCCCGTTTTGCCTGAATATTAGCTTGTTTGAACAATGCTATCACTATAAGTGAAATACTTATTCCAAAGTCAGGACGAAAAGTCCTGATGAAAAGTCCAAAATCATCAAGAAAAAATACCTTATACTTTAAAAAGAATAGGAACCAAAACACCTACTCTAGGAGAGAAGACAAATACTTATATATGATCAGAAGACAACAAATGATGTACCTCTTCTTTTTCGTGCGCTGTCATGTCTAACAGCTATTTAGAGCGAAGGTGATCTATTGAATACAAGAGACCTATAGGATATCTGGTGTCCCAGCTAATTTGTTCTTGGTCAGATGCATGTATCAGTTTCTCCTGTATGGTTTTATTTGTGTTTAGCTTTCTTTAGAACCTGCAGGATAGTAACGCAGCAAGTTAAGTAAGCTGACTAGAAACACTATCACATGTCCAGATTCTCATTTGCCAAAGAGATTACTTCTGATATTCAATTGAGAACTTTGCTGATCACAAGAACAGAAAAAAAAGATGAACAGAAGGGCAATTAAAAAAAAAAATAGGGGAAAACAAAAAGGGAAAACAAAAAGCGCCAGTCTTCTGAAAATATAACCTGCTTCTCCTACCCCATAAAAAGCACACAAGAAAAACCATACACTTCCTCTGTTTTCTCTCCGAGACCTTCCAACAGCCACTTCAGTGAAGACTCAAATTACCATTAGTTACCACTTTGGATTTTCAGAGCTGACCCTCAATCACCACTCTGCTTGAGGCTGTGACTAAAGAATGCATGAAGCATGATCAACCAGAAGGAATTGAATTAAAGCATAAAATATCAAGGAGTGTTCAGAACAGAGGGCAAAACAGAGTGAAAACATTTATTTTGGATCCTATCCCCAAAGAATGTTTAAGAGAGAGTTATGTGTTTGCTATGGAGGATGTGAAAAATTAACCAAGTTTTAACATATCTAAGAGGCGTCTCAGAAAAATATTCATTCAAAGGATTCATGTGTAAAATAGTAGGACTATGAGGCAATGAATGGGACATGACAATAGCAGTTCTTGGTTAAGAACAGAAAAAAATCAAGTGATCTTATTTCCTAAACATCTCTTTTGCTACTCCAAAGACTAACAGCAGGAACCTACTAGGAAGCTGCAACATTACTACATGGAAGAGTTTATAACAGCTAAGACAACTGAGATCCCCAAAAGCTTTCATGTTTCTGAACCATTCTTTTCTTCTTCCAAATGGAACTAAAATTCAGAAAGAATTTTCATGTAGGACATAAATTTTTAGAAATTTCTATAGGCAAAGCTGGCCAGCAAACAGCTGGCTGGCCAGGGTAGAAGTCTGCCTGCTTTCCCATGAATGTCACACTGACATATTCCCACTGTTTTTATTCAGCTCAACTAGCGTTTTCCAAAAGTAAGTTGCTACATGAAAAACATTTCTGTCAGCTCAACCAAGGGGTGTTGCAAAAGCTAGAGACTACTCATCATGTCGGGAAATATACCCACTAGGCCAAAGATTCCTATCCTCAAAGATATAAAATGGAAAGGAAAATCAATATGCCTGTCACCTCTCTCACGATTTAGTCACTCAGATGAATAGAGACAGATGCATAATTAATAGCAAATGTAAAATCTTACAGATGCAGAAGAAGTCGTAAGTAACAGAGGCTAAGGATGAAATCCTGGCACCAATTAAATCAAAGACAAAACCCACACTGACTGTAACAAGGTCAGAAATTTGTCCTTGTATTGCAAAAGAAGAAAAAACAAGATCAAGAAGAGCAATAACCATCTCAATACACAAGAGCCAAAATTTCAAGCAGATTTTCCTACCTGAGATTGCAGGCTCCTTTGATACACAGTTTTGAGGGCTCACTGGAGTGGACATACTTGTTTAATTTGACTCCTTGCTATATTTTATAATGCATGAAATATACTTCGTCACTCCTTTGAGAGGATTATTTGTAACACAATATTTTCCTAGACTGCTAGGCTCCCCTACTGCCCAATAAATTAAAAAACATCAAAAGGAATAATTTATCAGTGTCTGTATTTATATTTACTAACAATGTGAACGAAAAGAATACATTAGATCATCTCTACAACTGACATACCCAACAAAAAAAGGACAACACATGTAAACCGTAAGCTGTTTATGTTCTACATAATAGATGAAATACTATAGGTTGGGAAAGTGGGACTAAGTAGTTCTCCCCCTTAAACAGGAGAGATATAGGCTAGACATGAAGAAGAAATTCTTCCCTGTGAGGGTGGTGAGGCACTGGCACAGGCTGCCCAGCGAAGTTGCAGCTGCCCCATCCCTGGCAGCGTTCAAGGCCAGGATGAATGGGGCTTTGAACAACCTGGTTTAGTGGAAAGTGTCCCTGTCCGTGACAGGGCGCTGGAACTAGATGATCTTTAAGGTCCCTTCCAACCCAAACCATTCTGTGGGTTCATCTGCTTCAAAGCATTTTTCCTGGCTTCATACAAAAAAAAAAATCTTGCAGAAAACAGCAGGGTAAGGACATTTCCTACTGAATTAAGCATTCAGTCACAAAGTCAAACACAGAAGAGGAACAGGTGAAAGAAAAAAGTTGCAATTTCAGAAAATATTTTAAAAGCTATGGAAACCTAAATGTACTAGGAAAACAAAAGAAGGTGGTTCCAGATGGCAGAAGCTACTGGAAAGAAATCTTTCTACCCAAGCAGTAGCACTGGGTGAGCGCGCAGAGTGGATGACTGCTGTAAGAGCAGCAGAAGCGTGACTAGAGGCAGCTAAACAATACATTTTAAAGAAATGCAATCTGCAAATCCAGTGCATACAATCTGTCTTGTGAAGCTGACAACACACGCAGGAAACAGAGCACTAAGAGAAAATTCTTTTCTCAGCTAAGGGAAAGAAAAGCAGTTCAACCTTTCAATCAGCTGCAAGAACTAAAATGAAGCCAGATCCTTATTTCTATAAAACAGGAAAACAACCCGCATGCCAGAAGATGCATTCCCATGCTCTATCACAAACTTTTAAACTGTCCTTATGCTTGCATTCTCTTTAAAGGAGAACAAGTGAATCATGCATAAACAAAGATCTCTATGTATGTCTCAAAGCTGAGGACATAGACTTTCTAATACCTACATCTCTTCAAAGAGTTAAACAAACGTAGGTAGAAGATGTACTACAGATTTTTTCTTCAGTATTAGGGAATTGTACTTCTGTTTACTTGCGTGTAATTATAGAGGAAAATAGTGGATTGAAAGTAGTTACATATGCTTCAGTTTCAGCAGAAGAAAACGAACCTGTTAAACCTATGAACGCTTCCTGAAATATGACTGCCCTGGGTTTGCTTTTCCATTCCACAACAAAGAACAAAACTCCACCACCAGGATCTGAACTGAAACTTAAATACATAAAAGACATTTTACTGTTGCCTTCTTTGAAGAGTTTGAAACACTACCACAAACACTTCTTAAGAGTACATTGTGTTTTAGAAGAACAAAACCTATCTTAAATTGTATGTACTGCAAGGAGACATTCTGTACATAAAGAAATACCCATGCTTTAAACCTGTACATGTGCTAGGGTGAAATCTGGCATGACTGAACGACCACAGATCAACCATTGAGTATATGCCAGTAAGGCTGCAGCCTACAATCAACATCAAATGTTGTATTCATTTCCACCCAAGGCCAACAGGTAACCAAGCAATGCTATGCCATCCATGTGCACATGAAAAGAGTAACCTCCACCAAAAGACATGGACAGCTGTAAGGAGACCTCTGCTTCTAGATCCAGCTGTGCTGGTGAAAGACATTACCTTCACAGGCTCAACAGTATCCCTCTGGGCAAGTTACTGTTCCTCTCTCCCCACAAAACATCATTTCAAGCATTCTACCAACTGCGTGGTGAAATCAGACCGACATGCTGCACTAACTGGACTGATTTATCCTAGAAACGAGAAAGGGAGCGCTCACACAAACAAGGGAAGAGATGAAACTCTGGTGGAAAAAGGAATGAAAAGCTGAGAATAGTGTTTTTTTTTTTCCATATGTACAGCTGGATTTGGAAGACAATGTTTACTCATAGCCTCATACCAAAGTCAAATTCACATAGAGATTTGTGCTGCCACAAAAGCTATGGCTAGTGCTAAGTCTTATGCTTTCAGCCTTAATAATTACAGCTAGTACAACTGTTAGGTGGTTGGAATTACAGTGCAATCAAGATGCCCTGTACACAGTATACACCTCTACCTTGAAAAAAAATCAGAGAAAGTGAGCAACCTGATCCAGTTGAACATATCCCTGACCATTTCAGTGGGGGGTGGATTAGATGATCTTTAAAAGTCCCTTCCAACCCAAACCATTCTATAATTCTGTGATACTATATGAACACGTTCCTGTGACTATAACTAGGCCAACACCTCCACCACCGCTCCACACCTCCACCCCATCCTGTATTTAACAATGCACTGGTACAACTACAGCAACAATGTGCAATAACATCCAGAGAAAAGGCCACAGTCCTGCCTGATACACTTCTCACCCCTGTAAAACAAAGATAGATCCTGAAGTCAGAGGATTAAAGCATCTGCAGCATATCAAGGTCCCAGCCCCATAAATATCTAATTTCTGATGAACTCCA